TCTCAGTAGGAAGCGATGCTTCTAATGTAACATTAAAACTTATCCATACGCTGTACAATATTTGAATACAGAGGCAGTGATATGTAGAAAGCTGTTGGACTTTTATGATGATCCGTTTGAAGGGATATATTTGGTAAAATCAAAACATTGACAGAAGAAAATGATTTAAAATTAACTCAGTCAACTGCTTACAGTGCGAATAATGCGTCCGTAAATTATGGTGTACATAATTGAGTATTTCAAAAATTACAAGAAACAAACGATCATCTAATTAAAACAAACTGCAACAATTGCGTCAAATACGTCCTTAAAGCTTTGTCAGTAGATATCGAAAGCATCGTGAATGAATGAATTTAGCTCATCTTCTACAAGAACCGAGAAACTAAAAGAATGTTTCTTATTTGCTAGGGTCGAGTATAAAAACCTTCTTCGTAATGTTTCAACAAGATGGTTATCTCTTTTGCCCGCTTTAGATCGTTTATTGCATTGCTGGACAGCTGTAAAACAATACTTTTTGTTAAAAGGGGAAGATGAATCTCGAAAGGAGATATGGGAGTTTGTTTCTAAAAGTTGTACTTATTTCAACAACGTTGAAGAAGTCGACGAATGTAAACAGGAAGGAATTTCACTTTATACATAATGTAATGTTGGAGTTTCAAACAGCCATTTTGGCATTGGAAAGTTACACATGCACTGTCTTGGAAATTGACAGTGTAATGAGAAAGCTAATTATCCACCTTAAAAACAGGTTGGAAGATAAATTTTTCGGAAGAAAAAGTAAAACTATTTTAAAGACTATTTCCGATAGTGAGAAAACCCGTTTTTGTAACGAAGCTGAAAAGTTTTTAAAACGAGCTATTCTATACTTACAACAACGCTATGATTTTTCTGAGAACTGTTTATATAAAAAGTTGGCCGTATTGTCTCTAAAAGGTGAACATTTGTTTACGTGGGAAGAATTGCCTGAAGTGCTTTTTTTATTAAAATAAAAAAATATTTAAAATGGTAAAAAACCTGTAATATTAGGATTTTTTAAATAAAATTTTAAATTTGTTTATAAATTATAGTAGATTATAAATTGAACAACTTTAATTTGAATTATCTCAAATATGGAGGCCTGGAGGCAGGTGAGGCGACAGGAAAAACTAACTTTTTTTCGGAAACTTTAATTTAAATTCTGTTTGCGCCGAACTTGTTTCTTTAATGTCATTATAAACTATTATAAATTTGGTGTGGGTCCCATGTCTAATAACTAAGATATTGGTATACATAAAATCCACCAGCAGCCACTGCCCCCCTATCCCTCACGTGAGATTTTGGCCATTAAACTTTCTTTGCGGACAACATGTAAAAAAATGAACAAATTTGAATTATAATAAATATTTTTTAAGCTCAGAAGTTGACGTGAGATTTTTAATGACCCCCCCCCTCCCTTAAAATGAGATTTGGTGAGATTTTGCTGGACCTCTCCCCCCCATTTTTGTCTCACGTAACTAATGAATGTCCCCAAAGGTAAACATTGGGAAACATAAATTTTTACATATTTTCAAACCTACATATTTACATATTTACATATTTTCAAACCTACAATACAGAGTATCAAGTGATTTAGTAAATTATTGGTCACGGGTTAACAGCTATAATTGATAACCCGCGGGCTCTGTCCGCTGTAAAAGTTATACCTCGGGCAGCCGGCTACTTTTTTTTACTTTTTTTGTCTGCTTTGTATGAAGAGGTCCATTGCAAAACTCGGTTTATCCAAAAATGAGTTAGTGGTGTCTGTACATTTAACATGTAGCCCCCTATACCTTGAAAAGGTCATAATATTCTAAAACTCACCTTATTCCATTTAAAATTCATTTACAAATTGACTATCATTCCAAAACTTGGCTTATCTATAGGTTATATCATGTCAGAACTGGCTTATACGTATGTACTTGAGTTTAATTTTTTTCAAGTTGGAGCTATACTTTTTTAATCAAGGTATGTAAATTTTATACTTGCCTATTTATTTCGTTTAAAGTTTTTAATATTTTGCTCAAAATCAACTAATATGGATAAGCCGACTTATGAAATTCACCTCCTCATATACCTTAAGGTTCTAGACTATTTGTATGGAAAAAATAACGCCTATCTGTTGCCTCAAAGGCAAACAAACAAACGCAATCGTAAATACATGTATACGTCCATGTCAGGATTTCAATGTCAAAAAACAATAATTTTAACATACACTTAACATTAACATTTGTTTGTTTTTTTAATATCCTCACAAGATGCAAATAAGCGAATAAATATTACATTTTTTTAATTGTATGATTCTCGATAATTATTTTCACCAATAACACAACGTCATACACACTGTGTGTAACAAACAGTTAATATGTTTTTTCTACAACCGAGAGAAAAATACAAATTTGCGCTTCCAAAAGAAAGCGCAAAGTTGCACTTTTCCTAAGAGCAAGCGTTTTTTTACTTTGTCGCTCACTTAGTTACCATGGATATTATGATAAAGAAATGTTTAGTGTGTTTGCGGCTTTTGACACAAAAGTCAAATTTGAGGTTATCAATAATTAATAATTTTTACCAAACATTTTTATAGAAATGCCGGTTGTAGAAAAAATCCTGTGTGTAATTCGAGCGCAAAGTGACATTGTCGCTCTCGCTCAGAGCGGCAATGTATCACTTTGCGCTCTTAATACAGAAATAGCTAATATCAACTCCCAGCAATGGTATTTTCGACAGATAATGGAAAACCTTTATTGAAGTCATTCAACAAAATTTAATAAATGTATGAAACGTTTGTTTATATTTAATTGTTCATATAACTGTACAATGTCTGAGGACCGGATTTTGTATATGTGGACCTGTGGCGCGGGCACAACTGGAAAGGAAAATTGTTTGAAAAATTATCTACAAAAACCGCATTTTCAACAATTATCCAGCAAATTTCTTTAAAATTAGAAATTTTTTAAATTTTAAAACGTAATAAATAAACTTTTTGTTTAATAGGTGAAAGATTTCATTAACTTAATTATTGCTACCTACTTTTTTAATAAATAATATAGAAAAGATTTCAAACATGACGTTTTGCTGGTTAATTAACAAAAAAGAGTATTATCTAATAACTTGGCGGTTATTTAGGAAGTTATTTGAATTAATGGTTAATCTGTCAGGGTTTAAACGTACGAGGTGTGTTCAGACAATATCGGGAATTTTCGTTTTTTGAAAAAAATTTTTATTTATTCGTCTACATTAATGTTGTCGCCTTCAAAATAGTCCCCATTGGATATTATGAACATGAGCAAGCTCTTCTTCCAATACTCGAAACAATTCTAAAACTCGATCTTTGGGATAACCTTTAGTTCTTTCAGCGATGCGCTTTTAATGTAAATAGGAAAAAGTCAGACAGAGGCATGTCTGGCGAATATGGAGGCTGGGGCATCATTACAGTATTGTTTTTGGACAAAAATTTTGTTCAGAATATTACATTATGACTCATAATTTATGAGGGTACACTGAAAAAGGTTTTCATGTTTGTAATGTATGTGATTTGTTAAACAATAAATCATGCATTAACCTATTATGTAACTGACGGGATGAGACACCAAGTAAAGATTGTTATTGTTCATTAGATCGCAGTCAGGTGTTTTATTTCAAACCCAAATACGGGCAGCACAAATTGGCGACGAGGATAAAATAATAGTGTTGAGTTTATGTGAAAATATAATATATAAACAGTCTATTTTAAACTTATAGTCCATTCCATTTAAGAATAAAGTAGATGTCGCTGCAAAACGAGACAGGTTTACACAGGAGTACGCGGCAAATTTAAATATTATGGCGGTTGTCGTTGATAGAATATTAATATGTTACAACAAATATGGACAAATCAAAGCAACCCTGAATGTACAATACCATGAAAAAATAATTTACTATACTAATTAAGACCTTTAGACACAGAAAAATACATGTATTATATTATTTTCAGAAAATAAGAAGAAATAAACATTAATTTGATCAACATAACCTCAATTATTTAACTGCATTCCTTATGTCAGTTCATTTTTTTAATGTGGAAAATAGTACATATTTTAATGTTTTATTAAGTTTTTATGATTCTATAATATAAAAATTTATATATTAACAAATAGACCGAGTTTTATTAAAAATGTAAGATAAATTAAATGGTAAATGAACGGAAAAAAATATTTTTATTTATTAAAAATGTAAGATAAATTAAATGGTAAATGAACGGAAAAAAATATTTTTTTCTTTGAGTGTAAGCATGATCCATGGATTTGAAAAGTGCATTTTTTAATATAAAGTATACCTAGTAGCGGCTGGTGAATTTTGGGTATACCCATATCTCAGTTATTAGACATGGGACCCACACCAAAATTATATGAGTTTATAATGACATTAAATAGACAAGTATTACCTACATACCTATGTCCGCTTGTTACGAACTTTCGGTTAAAATGAACCAACTCGAATAATATCTACGAACCAAAGTCCTAAGTATATGAAATTTGTTTATTTTTTCTAAAATAACAAACAAAGCGAACCATCGTTCATGGTTTATTACGGTTCGTTATAAGCGATTGCTACTCATTATTTGCTAAGGAATATTTAATGAAATTCATCGAATGAAATTAATTAATCCATTTATATTTTAACATATAATTAAATTTAGCTATTGCAAAAATTTGGATTTGGATTTTTTTTACATTCATTCATCATGAAGTCCCTACTTACCCCACTGAAAAAAGTTATTTAAAAAATTATATCTAGTTTTTTTAAAGTAAGGCTTAAATAAAATACAAATGCAATTCATAAAGGTTTTATTAAAAAAAAAACAAAACTTTACCAAGTCTCAAAAACATTTCCATTCATATCCCCTGTTGACTTTTACTCAAATACATTTAAGCCACCTTCCACAAACTCTGTTTCTGAACCAATATGGGTGGTAATAAGCCTTTTACCTTTGCCTGAAGGGTTTTTTAGTCCAGTTGATAACCTCTCATTAAATGCCTCTTGATATTATCAATATATTTTTTTCTCCAAATTACTATTTTACTTTTTTCAACCAGTAAATGATTCCTACCCCTTTTTTCATACTTGAAGCCAAGTTTTCTTAAAATTCTCCATAAATTTGTCCAAGAAATTGGTGGTAAGTTATCATCCTTTACGGTCTAAAAAAAAGGAAAAACAATTAGTTTATACACAAAACGTTTGTTTTAATAATAAAAACCTATTTATTTAAAGCAAAACCCATTTTTATTATTTGACACCCTATTTTATTTATTATTTACATTAAGGGAACATTTTTCTAATCAATTATTAAACATATTTCAATAACATAATTACTTACTTGATAAATTTTACTTAAATTTGGTATTTCATTATTTATAAAAAAGTTATGAACAACTTTTCTTAGGCGCTTCTTTTGTTCCCCACTCAATTTGTCATATTGACTTGCCTTTCCGTCATGTTTCATTTGTTTGATGGTGAACCAAATGGTACTTTTTGAAATACCAGTTTTTTTACATGTTAATATTACACTGGCACTTTTTGATTTTCCTTCATCGATATGTTTTTTTACCATATTAAAGAGTATTATTCTTTAACCTCGTCCTATATATTGGCCAGATCATCTGGCCCAGATGTGTTTTTTAGGACAGAGGGTTGGTTTTGCACATTGTCCACATTGTTTATATTGTCAACATTGTTTATATTGTCCATATTATCAGTATTACGTATAATATTACGTATATATGTTACGGCTAATGTGCAAACTTGGATAGTTTATAAACTAGCTGGATAGTTTATAAACTAGCTAAACTGTCAGCTATTTTAATTGAAAATGTATTTTCCACTTAATTAGCGGCTAGTTTACAAAATAACCAAGGATCTTGGCTAATTTACTTGAAATTATTAGGAAAACTAAAATAGCTGGATAGTTTGTATACTATCCAATTCAATTTGGCTAATATGAAAACCAAAATTTCTAGTAACACAAAATAGCCAAGCTTTAGCTAGTTTGTAAATTAACCAACTAATTCTCTGGCTATTGCCCATTTTAGTTGGGTTTTTTGCTCAATGGGGCGGGGTCGGTTGGGTTGTGTTGTTGAGTTTGGGTTGGTTTGGGTTTTTTCTCTCATTTTTGACCATTTGACCAATGGGGTGGGGGGGCAATGACGCGGGGTCGGTAGGGTTGTGTTGTTGAGTTTTATAACAAGAAAGCGTTAAAATTTTGTCTATGATTCATTTTAAAAACGTTAAAATGCACAAAACAAATCCGGTTAAGCCGGCAAAACGAAAAACAATGCCGTAACCTCAATTTTAATAAATTAGCCAGAGAATTGGTTGGTTAGTTTACAAACTAGCTAAAGCTTGGCTATTTTGTGTTACTAGAAATTTTGGTTTTCATATTAGCCAAGTTTGCACATTAGCCGTAACATACATATATAATATGTATACGTAATATTACCCCTGGGTGAGAATTCGTGAAACGGATCACTGTTTTCCCGACTTTGGAAAATACAAAAAACAATTATTGGTTTTTGTAGTACCTACTCATTGATAGTAAAATATTCCCAAATTAAAAAAAAATATATATATACAATTTTAAAAGTTATTTAAAAAAGAGCGTTTTTGACGATTTTTTTTCGAAAATCTTTCATGGAAATAAAGCCGTTTAATAAAATTTTACTTTTATTGAAAATTCTTTAAAACTTATCAAATTTTCATAAAAAATATATTTAAATTAAAAAAAAAAGTTATTTTCATAAAAAAAATTATTTATAATAAACAATTTGCATTTTTATAATTTTCTCAATGCTTTTTTGAAAATCGTATTAATTTATATTTTTCTTAAGGTCTTTCCAATGAAAAACTAAAAAAAAAATGGATTCTTAATTAAACGTTTAATGACATTTGATTTTGTGAGCCGGCGCGACTTTTCTGGCCCTGGCGCTCGAGCGCGCTCCCGACGCGACCCGTCCCATTGCGATGCGTAGTTTATTATCAATAACTCTGCTATACTATACTATTAAGTAGGTACTTGTGATTTAAAAATGATTTATTAAGGCCATTAAATATACTGATATATATATTAGGGTGGCCCAAAAAAAAAGAATATTTTTTTTCTTCTCGTCTCTTGTGAAAATATGTTGGTTTGTCAGAATTTTTATTATTTTCAACCTAAAAAATAATATCGAGACGAGAAAAAGAATTAAAATAAAACAAAAATTCAATTTTTGACGATTTTGAAAATTTTTAAAAATCTTGAGCGACCCCTACAAAATTTTTAATCGAGCTGATATTTTGAAAGGGCTCTTACAGCATGATAAACTAACATATTTTTACAAGAGACGAGAAGAAAAAAAATATTCTTTTTTTTTGGGCCACCCTAATATATACAGTGCTTGCAATATCAACTCCGACCGCACTGGAAAGGACGGCTGTTCAATACCCGCGTGAAAAGAACAAGGATAGAACGCCAAATAGAATTTGATTGGCCAGCCGGCAGGCTACGACAACGCATACCCATCGCGCACCTCGCAGCGTGGTTGACACGAGGATATCAGAACGAGAACTGCAGTGGTGCGAGCAAGAGGTAGTAATTTTAGTGAAAAAGATTATTTAATTAAAAAATGTACACGTTAGAACAAAAAGTTCAGATTTTAATCTGGCATTTTGCTGGTAATTCTGAACGAGAAATTCAAAGATTATTTGCGGGAATGTTCGAGGCCAGACCAAACAGAGAAACAATTCGACGAACCGTTAATAATTTTCTCACGCACGGTTGTGTAGTTCCGATGCAGCTCCGACGGGAACGTCCTCCCCGTGAAAATCTAAATAGAGAAGCGCGGGATACTTTAATTTGCGCGTCAATTTACTCTCCATGGCAGGCACAATTCGCAGAATGTTCGAATGTGGGCGCGAGAAAATCCTCGTAGGATTTATGCAGCTCGGACACAGTATCCCCAAAAACTTAATGTCTGGGCGGGTATTTTGGGCGACCGAATAATTGGCCCATTTTTTATAAATGGTAATTTAAATGGCGCTAGGTATTTAAATCTCTTAAGAGACCAAATAGTTCCCGCGCTTCAAAATTTAGACGGAGTTAACATCGAAAACGTATGGTTTCAGCAGGACGGTTGCCCCGCACATAATACGATGGCTGTTCGGGAATTCCTTTCCGACACTTTTGGACCTCGTCTTATTATGGGTCGAGGAGGAATTCTCTGGCCAGCTAGATCACCGGACTTGGCGCCGTGTGATTTTTTTTTTGTGGGGGTACCTCAAGTCGAAGCTGTACGTTTTCCAGGAAGATCGGGCTAATAACCTCAATGATTTAGGAATCCGCATAACTAATTTGTTGGGGGATATTAGTCCAGAAGTCCTAGCAAATGTGCGTGGGAATTTTTATAATAGGTTAGGCTATTGTTTGGCTGCCTATGGGGGCTTGTTCGAACATTTAATTTAATTTTTGAGTTTATTTATTTTTATTATTTATTTTTAGAGTTTTATTTTTATTTAGAGTTTTATTTTTATTTATACCTAGTTATTTTTATTCAGAATTATTTTTTATTTGAGAAATCTTTTTTATTAAGAATACTATTTTTGTTGTTGCCCTAGTTCTCAAGGAAAAAATCAAAAAATTTTATTTTTAGGATTCGGGTACCTATAAAATATTTAAAAAGAAAATTAAAATGTGCATCTACACTCTTACGCAGTTTGCTTGACACTAAATCATTTAGTCTAAATGCAGCCAGACTGAGAGTTGACCTCGCTTACAATTCGCACGCATCCGGCAGCCGGCTCTGGCCAATCAAATTCTATTTGGCGTTCTATCCTTGTTCTTTTCACGCGGGTATTGAACAGCCGTCCTTTCCAGTGTGGTCGGACTTGGATTTGCAAGCACTGTATATATATATATATATATATATATATATATATATATATATATAATGTAACGGTCTGTTTTTTTGTTAAATTCAATTGGGTTCGGTTACCAAGTAAAGTTCAGTCATTTGCTGTGTTTGGGCTTTATTTTATAAGGTGTACTGTGTTTATGAACAATTTATTCTGTTTTTTGTTAAGATTTAATTTTTATTATGTATAATTTTTATTTGAATTGAAATAACCATTGTATCTTGTAATTGTACGGACTGTATAACAAAGCAGACTGTATAGCACAGTCTGCCACTTTACAAACTAAAATTACTAAGTCAGCCATTTTGGAATTTGATTTTGTTTCGGCACACTTGATGTGAATTAAATTGCCCCAAATTCTAAATATTTTGTCAATCAATTGTTGAAAATTGTGTAAAAAGGCTCAAATATTGTGGGCCTTTTTAGCCACTTTGTTAATTTTTGGGTTGTATTTGCCTAATTGGTAAACTTGTTGGACTTGTTTGGTTATTGGAAGCACTCTGGGATATAGCTTGGATACCCTTAAGAAGTCGTGCATTAATTACAAAAATTTATAAGAGGAAATTTGATTTGGAGTGAGAACTTGCCAAAATTACCTGGTCTCCTGGATTGTATGGTGGATTGTAGTACAACGAACATCCCATATGTTCTAGTGACAGGATTGGAGTGTTACAGCTAGAAATTGCCAACAAGTAAGCCTTAGCCTAAAAAATTTTGTAAAATCCACATTTTGTAACCTAATGTTAGAAATAATGAAGACGTACCTTGTGTAACAGACATTTAATTAAGTTAATCATATTTAGGGCCTTAATTTAGTTCTACCCCATATTTTAAGTTAAAATTAACGTTGTTTTGATTCTGTCAATTGTCAGTCATCAGCTGTTGCGTCAGACGCATGCGCTCTATGCATGCGCTGCAGGCAAACGAATTTCGATTATCGAAGTAATCCACAGTGCGACGAGTTGATATCACTCGCACAGTGCAACGCATGTTATAAATTTTAGAATAATCTTAACAATAATAGTTGTTAATAAATTGACATTGTTAAAGTTGCAAAATAGTGTTATTGTGAAATTATTTTACCCTGACTACCTGTTGAGTTTGTCGCAACTAGCGCCCCTAACTCAAGATTTTCGTTCGTACTTGCCTGAACCCCGACCTAGCGTCGACAAATAAGAGTTGCCGAGGTAAGTGCGCTATTTTTTTATTTTATTATAAAGTTTAGCGTTACAATATATATACACAGGGTGTCCCAAGTAGCAAAATAGGTTTTTTTAAGGTATACAAGGGCTTCATAAAACTACTCTTAAGGGTAATTTGCCTTGCTTAGTTTAAACCTATTTGCTTTAACAGCAGCTATAAAGCGGATGCAAAAATTATAAACAAATACCACTTTACTAATAAAAGTTGATTGCCGAGACACAAAATGTATGATGCCCACTAAAATGCGCTTAGTCTAAACAATTTTAAAGGCTTTAGCTAAATTACTTACCCGATCTACATTCCGATTTTAAAGCCATCTCTTATAGAAAAAATATTCTCTAGCATTAAGATGCTCGTAAAAACCAAATTTTTTGAAATTTTCTGAATAATATTATCTATTTGTATTTTAGATTAAAATTATTTCATTATGGCGGAGGAATATATTCTAATTTAAATGGTGGT